CTGTTCCTTTTTGGGGAGGTCAGAACTCAGGTCCCTTGTCCCATCCTGATCCCAGCTTTTGTCTCTTTGCGAATGCCTTGTGTATGCTTTATGTTTTGTATGACGGTCAATGTTCAAAGAAACCTTTACTGGTTGAGCCACAGGATGAGCCACAGGATCTTGATGAGCCATGGGATCTTCATTCAGTTTTAGGTTCATGAATCAAGATCCATGACCACGGCAGTCGAGAAAAGAATATCCGGATGGATTCTCCCTCCACACAACGCGACGATTTCGAGTCGCGTTTTTTTTGCCCAAACAAGCTGGTGGGTCGCGCGTTGGATGAAGCGGATGACAAACATATTGACTTAGCAGAACAAGGTTCATTGAACATTTGGCGCGATTTGTTTGTTGATACTTGAGCGTCATTAATTACATCGGCGCACTATATTTTTGATGTAAAGAACTCCACGTCCCACCACTCCAGTCAGCAACGCGGAAGAAGGGGTGCTCAAGGCACTCAACAACATCAACAAACCACCAAAATCAAACAAAAAGACAAATCAACTCACCAACCAACAAACCAACCAACCGAACCAAACCAAACCAGACCAGCAGACCAGACCAGATCAGACCAACCAACCCAACCCAACCCAACCCAACCCAACCAAACCAAACATCAACCAACCAACCCAACCCAAACTAACACAACCAAACAACAACAAGAAGGATCATCACTGCGCCCTTCAGGACCTGCAGGAGTTCCTGAAAAAGAAGTATCCCTTGCCAGAGAAGATGATCAAGAAATAGAAGCTTTGCAGCCGAGGCGAGCGGCTCAGCTGCCGGGGTTGGCGTAACCCAATAGGTCATAGGTCAGGCTTGAGGCCTGCGTGGCCTGCCTTCAATCGGTCCGGGCATGATCGCACAGGGCTTCGGTGGTCTAATTCCACAGAGAACTGGTTCACCAAGATGACCAACACGAGAGATCGCTGACGAACCCATTCGGAGGTGGATGACCCAAGGACCATTTGATGGGGGTTTTCTATAATTGCAAGCAAGAATAGTTCCCAACAACAATTGCTATCTCATTGCGTCCCTCTAATCATATTGTGCATTGGTCCCGGATGATTGGGCGATGTTTTGTTGGGCAGACCAGTCGTTTTCCTACATACCTGTACCACCAGGCTGTCCTCAGCATTCCTGTGGACCCTCATCCATTTACCTCTTCCGAGCCAGTTGAGAAGGGAAGTCAGAAAAAAAGGGCCAGGAGCATCCAAGAGCGCAAAGCCGCTAAGACGCTGAAGTCCTATAACCTATAACCTGCGACTTTTTTCCGCCTCCGACTCTTACTCCCTATCGGTCAAACAGCTTTTCCCACCTGCCGAGCTCCGCGACTTCTCCAAGAAGACCCCGGCGTTTTGGCAAGTTGGGGAAGTGAATGGAAGTGACTCCATAGATGTTTGTAAGCAAAGAAGGACATTCCGCGCCGATTTCACACCGGACTTCCAGTCCTCTGGTCACCTGCCGAATCCCTGCTTCGGTCGCAGGAGATGCGAGAGGATCTGTGACCGCCATGATCTGGCCATATAAGACACCTGGACCCTCGGTCCCTAGAGAGAATGGCTGAAGTCCCAGAAGAGTCTAGACTTTGGCATCAGATTTGGACAGCTAGAAGTTGATTTGGGGGACTGAAGACTACGTCATCTCGAGAGATGAGACGAACTGCATTGAACTGCTTAGGCTTTAGGACAGAGAGAACATACTCATCGACTCATCAGCATGGTACAGCCATTGTCATCGCGGTTCCAGGCATGGCCCCTCCGCACAGTTTGGCTTAGGATCTCATTGTTAGTTTATTTTGAACCTTTAGTGACATTCGCGGGCAGACGTTGTGCCTGGCACATCTATCACGTGGCGTTTGTGCCAAGAGTCCCTTCTCTCTGTGCCTTGAGACATCTCCAACGAAAAGTCTTGCCGCGTTTCCACAAACCACACAATGTGAAGATCTGTGAAGACTCTCTGTGGGAGAACGCATATTTTTCAATGTACGGGCCCAATAGACAAGCTGTCAAAAGTCGAAACAGGCAGGTCGCGTTTTCCTTGGCCACCGACTGCGCGAATCCCCACCTCCCTTTCATCAGGGGTACTCACACACTCACACAAGCGCACCTCCCCTGTTCGTCACAAGCCTCTTCGGGCAGGGGTGGTACGCAGTTGCAGTGAGTTGATTAACTCCAAAACGACCAACGCACCTCTTGTTCTCCTTCATACTTTATCGTGCGAAAGCCATGCTTTTCATGTAATCACTGGCCTTGTGGAGGCGAAGAGGGCCCTGTTGCACAGCATAGCACAGTTACTGTATGTTGCCGCCTGACCTAACGAACCCCAAGAAGCCAGGATGGTGTTTCCAGCCAGGGACGTATCCCAAGAAGAATTGACACATCATTCAGCCAATGGGACCTGTTTTGGGGCCTTTGCGGCCAACAGGCACATTTTCCTGGGGGTTTTCGCGAACATGTTTTCGCAACCGTCTGAACCAAACTGCGTGTTTTCGCACTCGAAAGCTGCGAATGTCATGGACTGCACTGCCGAGACGGACGAGACTGGACGCCCAGTGACGCAACTCACGGACGGCTGACTGTCACATGAATGGTCATGCCCAGTGAGCGAAATGTGCGTCGCGATAACTGCGCCGGAAGAAGAACACCTGCGGAGAAGAGCCAGCAGGTGTGACATGGTTGTTTGGTGGAGAGGTGGTTGTTTTGGATCGGCCATCTAGAAGCAGTTGTTGAGTTTTTGTGGTTGTTGTTTTTGTATGTTTTTTTCAATTCTATCCTCCAACTATGTATACAATGTAATGTTCACATTGATTGGCTTCGACGGTGGCTTTGTTGAGGAAGCTATTGGAAAGTCGTTGGGAGGCCATAGTGGTGCAAATCAAGACAATCAACTACAGGATTTCTTAGTGGACTCCAGTGCATAACCTCTAAGTTGGAACACCAACCACCCCAACCACCCAAAATGTGGTCTTTTCCTCTCAAAGTAGGGTGCGAATGGGTTCTAGGTAACTGTATACACATTTTTTCAGGGGTGTGTGTTGTATGCTACTACAAGGCTGATCAGATTCAACCCTTCTTTCCAGAGAATCAAGAAATTCTTTGCTGCTCGGCTTATAGACTTGAACTCAACACACTTGTTCTTCAAAGCACACCGATGCAACTCCTTCGCTCCGACTCCGTGCTGTTCACAACACCTAGTCGCGTTGGACGACTTGGAGAGTGCTCGAGCTACGACTGATCCCCTTGACCGATCGACGGTTCGCCGCTATCGGGGGCACCATGCACCGCTAGGGCGCCCCGATGTGCCGGGCAGAGATGTGACTGTGACGGCCGAGCAGAGATGTGGAGGACAGGGCATTCGGCTGGTCGAATGGTTTGGCATACAATTCCAAATCATCCACCCCCGTCGATGTCATCAATGTGTTTTATCATATTTTTCTTCCGACGTGGTATGCGATGAAACTTGAATGGCCCAATCCATCGAGGAGACCCCGGAGGAATTGAAATTGATAAATATATGATGATGGGATTGAAATATAATAAATAATCGGATATACGTCGTTTTATATTATCTATATTGTTTTGTATATAATAATTTTGAATTTTGAATTGGATGCTTTTGAATAATATATGGGTATTTATTTTGGATTTTTATTAATTAATTATGTTATTTACATTATATAGAACGATTAAATGAATTATTTGATTCTTTAATGATATTTTATGGACATATTGACGAAATTGATTATTTTAATTGATATTTTAATCTATTTTACGAAATATATATATATATATTTGCGATTTTAAATATATTATTATATATATATATATAATTTTTTATTTGGATTTGATTTAGATTATTTATTATATTGTATTTCGACATTGATTATTTTTATATTATGATGATTATTGTATTTGATAATGGATATTTTAAAATAAGAATTTATGAAAAGATATAATATTTTATTGGATTTTTATTTGTTGATAACGATTATTTATATTTAATTCGATTATTTTAATTGTATTTTATTTATATATATGAATATAACGAAAGGTCGTTTGATAAGGATGATTTTGAATTTATATTTCGAAGAAAAGGAAATGGTTTGAAAATTTGTTTGGAATTAAAAATGATTGTTTAATATTTTATATTGTTTTTTGTTTGTAATGATTTATTAATAAATGAATTTATTAATTCTTTTTTTTCGTTTTTTTTTTTTTTGCGAATATTAAAATATTATTTTATAAAATGAATTGGGTTTAAATGGGAATTTATATAGATTTGATGATATTCGAAATTTTAAGATTTAAGATTTCGTCGTATAGGAGGAAAGGAAGCGGGGTTGCGTTCGTCCGCACGCTTATTTGATAGCGGGACCGATCTAGGCGGATTCAATAAATATATTCCGGGAGAAGAAGAAAAAGATTTAAAGAAATGAAGAAATTTGTTAGTTGTTTTTATCGTTCGATTCTTTGTATTTTCGATGCTTGTTGGTTTCTAGACGTCGGTATCCGTCTCCTTTTGATGTATGCGTATGTGGTGGAAATGACGTTGAGTTAGGTTTTTTCGTGGGTCTTCCGGATTCTAACAGTGGTGACCGGAGCACTGGATGCTTAGTCTAGGATAAGCGAGGATCCTGAGGCTCGCGAGGACATTACGGAGACAGAGTAGCAGGGGACGGTTACGATATTTGGGGGCAAAGGCGAATAGAAGACATGGACCGATGCCGAGTGGGATGAATGGAACTGGAAGTGGTACCGGGGTTCGAGCTGGAACTATAGCTCGTGGTACTCCAATGGGGAGAAGGCACAAGGTGGAGAGGCGTCTGGGGCAACGGCATCCACCTTATCGCCGTCGGAAGTCACTCACTCAGATCCTTGGCAACGACTAGGTGCAGATCCATGGTCCAGGAAGACGTTAGCCTCAGGAGAGCATGGGCCGCAAGGTAGCCTCAGGAGAGCATGGGCCGCAAGGCAGTTGGTGGAACGGTGGATATCACTCCAAAGGAGATTACAATGATCTTCCGATGGTCTAACTATAGGTTTTGGCGGAGAGCATTGCTGAGGTGGAACACCAATCCCGACGTGACGATCTGGCGTAGGGCTGAGAAGGTGCTCAAGATTTTGGATTGGGATCTTGAAGCCAAGTTGGATCACGTGTCGGAAGCGACGCTAGTAAGCCCAGCCTACATCACGGAGGTCTTGGGCGTTTTGGATGTTCTGGCCGGAGAAAAAGAGGATTCTGAGAGAAGAAGGGCAGTGCGAGCCGCACTGTTCGAGGGCAACAGAAAGAACGATGAGAGCTTGGCGCAATATGCCCTGAGGAGGGAATCTTAGTTCGAAATTGCCGGCAGGTTTTTGAGCATCCCCGAGGAGATTAAAGGCATTTTGCTGGAAAAGCAGTTAGGACTCTCCAGGCAGAGCATGCAGAGTCTTAGGGTGTTGACCAAGGGACAACATTCCTACTCCGAGGTGAAGAAAGTTCTGCAGGTTCTGGACCTTGACGAAGAGAGCATCATCAAGCCGGGGAAGGTCAGCTACTATGGAGACCTCACGGAAAACGAGGACACAGACTCCGAGGTCGATGACGAGGTGATCTTCAATGCCCTTGAGTACAACGAGGTGCGAGAAGAGGAAGCCGTGTCGTTAATGGCTGATCTTCAACAAGATCGACGGCGAACGTGGAAAGAAAACAAGCTGCTGAAGGCCGCCAGAAAGAAAGACCGTAGACACTTTGACGACAAGTCCTCGAGGCCGTCTAAGCCTTTTCACAAGAGACGGTTGTCGACCGAAGAGATCAAGAAGGTGACTTTCTGTGGCAACTGCGGTAAGAAGGGTCATTGGAGAGAAGATTGCACCGAGCCCAGCAAGGATGGTTCCAGAGCGTCCAGAGACAAGAATCCCAAGGTGTCAGCCTTTGCCTAATTTGGTCACTCGGACGAAGCCAGTCGTTCGAGTCCCTCATTCCTCGTGAACTATGGCAGCTTTCAGGCGACGGATCAGGCATGTTTCCTGGAGCTGTCTCCCGGGGAAACCATAATCGATCCTGGTGCTTCACAGGATCTGGTGGGACTTCGCAGCTTTGAGAAGCTCCAGGCCAAGCTGAAGGAGAATGGCTTGAAGACGATCAAACTGCAAGAAACGCCCTCGAAGGCGTCGGGAGTGGGAGGAGCTGCCATGACCCTGTTCATGGCGCTTGCACCCTGCATCCTGGGGGGGCAACCAGGTGTTATCAAGCTCACCGTTGTGGAAGACGACATTCCTCAGCTGCTGTCCATCGGCCTTTTGGAACATGGACATGCGGTGATTGACACCAAAGAGGACAAGATCCATTTTAAGCGGTTTGACACCATGGCCAAGATGTGGCGCCTCCCTTCGGGTCATCGAACACTGGCTGTAGCAGAGTGGGATGGTAGTGATTTTCCAGTGCCTCCGCAAGTGACGGAGAAGTATGGCCTGCCAGCAGGTGCTTGCAACCTGCACTCGAGCGATCGTGAGGTATACATGACGAGCGTGTCCGATGCAGAGTTCTATCAATTCTTTTGTCTAGCAGGTGTAAGCAAGCCACAGGTACGTCAGGCTAAAGCCGTGAGATCCAATTTGCTTGGTAATTTCTTTCTGTTTCCCGCTTTTTCAGATTTTGCAGAACATTGGAACTTCCGCACCTCATGGATCACGCTGGGAGAGAGAGCATGTCTTCTTGAACGAAACGCGAAACGACACGACACTTCAGACGCTTCTTTTTTGAGCAGAGAGTTTGAAGTCACTGACTGTCAGCTAGATTTCACGAAGCAACATTGGTCTGAGTCTGAAATCATTTCTCTTTTTTCACGTGAAGAGATTCATTTGTCAGTGCACGACGCATTTATCACCTGTCTTGACACGGATCGTTCCCTCGTCGCCTCTAGCAAGCTTGAAACGACACTCCGCGAAGACGACAAACGAGCCCAATACTTGATCCCAAGCTATCGAAATGGCGATGCAGGGCGTGCTCAACACCCGTGTGAAGAAATCAAGGATCCGCTCAGAGCAGGATCGGGAAACTTTGGAGAATCACTGGTTTCACTTCACGAGAAAGCTGCTCATGGTAAACGGCGGTCCAGCCGCACTGAGGAATTTGAACAAGAGCGCATACCCCGGGGACTTCACCACGTCTCGTCCGGGACCCTCACAGGGAATGATTCCCTCTTCGGACAAGGTGCAGCAGGCTTGCACCCATCCGAAAGAATACCAGACGAGGGGAGCCAATCAACACGGCACCTGGACCCGATGCAGTCTGTGTCAAACCAAAACGGGCTATCAGAAATATGGTCCGGACAACCCACCTCCGGCGGCCAGAAAGACGAAGGGTGCCGTGGTCGAGACCTATGTGGCCTCGGAAGCAATGGGCACCACCAGGGTGCCGATGGGGGCGAGCAGTTCAGAATCTCCTCAGCCCCTCACGCCAGACTTGGAGACGGCTTTCAGAGGACAGAATCAACAGCTCGTGCAGAGCACGGCGGCGGTGATGGCCCAAGTGATGACGCCAGTGGTGGAGGGATTTCATCAAGCCCTTCGCTACCAAGCGGAAGAATCCCAGAGAGCTCAGGAAAGGCAGGAGACTCAGATGCAGCAATCCTTTCTGGCCCTTCAGAGGATTATGCAGCAGACGGATCCAGCTCGCCAGCCAGGGGCTGCCTTTCCTGCCCTTCCTCCGGAGGAATTGCATCGTCTTCTAGCTCAGGGATTTGCGATGGCCAATCATCATCCGCTGCCGGAAGACGAGGAATGGGATGCTGCGCAGCGGGAGCCTCCTCAGGGGGGCATGGGACGCTGAGAGACGTAGAAGCCGCTGATAGTTTCACATCGTCATCGTCCGAGGATGGAACCTTTAAGTGTACAGATTCCAGCTCTATGCAATGGATGGTAGTGTCTCGAAATGAGACGTCAAGACGATTCTTAAGCCAAAGGGAGAATCTTGTTTGCTTCACTGGAGTGCAGAGGGCTTTAGGAGGCGAGACTCGTGAAGTGTTTGTTTTCTTCGATGAGGAGTTAATTGATGAGGTGATTTGTAGTGAATTTCCCGAAGGCAGAGAATCTCACCTTTTTAAGCGGCAGAAGAGAGCACTGTTGAATTCAAAAGAGAGTCTTTCGAAATCCCCCGAATTCAGTGATGAGCCAAAGAGCTCTGTGGTAGAAGTGAACCAAGAGTGGTCACAAGAACAAAACGCAGAGCCGGAGAGCCTTTCAAGAAATGAAGAAGAGCCTGATGGCCAGTCAAGAACAAAGAAAGAGCCTGTGAGCCAATCAAGACAAGCTAAAGAAACTGTTCGCCGCTTGGCAGAACAAAAGTGTCTCACTCGACCCGTTCGCTTCGATCGAAACGTCACACCTAGCTCGCAAGAGCTTAGCGCCCTGGGGGTAGTCAACGTTCGAAAGTGTCGCCATGGAGATTTGGAGAAGAGAACGACCTCGGGTCTCAAAGTGATGGAACTTTTCTCTCCTCCAAGAATCACACAGGAAGCAGCTCAAGCAGGACTTCAAGTCACTGAGCCATCCAACTTCGACTTGAAGCTAGGCTGGAACGCACTGTGTCCAGAAGATCGAAAGAAGATGTGGAAGACCATTGAAGAACAAGAGCCAGATGTCATCCTCATGAGTCCCGACTGCAAGATGTTCAGTCAGCTGATGAATGTGAACTTGAAGCGCATTCCAGTCGAGAGGCCCACTCGTCAGCAGATGGAGGCTCTGGTGATGTGGCATCTTTGTTTGCAGGTGGCCGAACACCAGATGAAGAAAGGTCGCTATTTCATCCTGGAGCAGCCGGCTGGAGCTTCATCCTGGTCGACGCACGGAAGCAAGTGGCTGATGGAGAATGAAGAGGTCCTTTTCTTTTTCTTTGACCAGTGTGAGCTAGGACTTCAGGTGAGCCCAGAGGGTCTTTCGCGAAAGACGACCGCCCTGGCCACGAACCATTTGGGAGTGGCAGCAGTCATGTCGCAGTACCAGTGCCGGAAATCGCATGAGCATGTTCGACTGGAAAATGGGCTTCCAAAGAAGGCTCAAATATATCCCTCAGACATGGTCAGGTCATTGATTCAGGGTATTCTCCTGGGTACCAGTGAATTCGTTGGCGCCACTCACGTCGACGATGTGATAGATGAGGACGAGGCAGAACAAGAAGGAGTTGAACGACAACCTCGCACTCCTGGCACTCTTCAGAGAGATCTCTCCGATCAACTGACGGAAGAACAAAGAAGAAGATCACGCTTATGCATCTCAACATGGGACACTTGAGCAAAGATTAGATGCTAGCTATGCTCAAGGCAGCCGGTGCTAAAGAGGGTGTTCTCAGATACGTCAAAGACGAGTTCAGGTGCGAGCATTGCATGAGACAAAGGAAACCAGTGGAGCGTCGACATGCTGCTTTGCCACGCACGTTTTCATTCAACAGAATAGTAGCTCTGGATTACTTTTTCCTGTCCTTTTCCAATCGGACGTTCGCCTTCCTGAACGCAATTTGTCACGGCACCAATTTTCAACAGGTGGGTCTGCTACGGAACTATGAAGGTGGTGTTTCCTCCTCCTCAGAAACATGGACTTTGTTCAACCGTGTTTGGATTCAACCGTTTGGCCTTCCGGAAACAATAGTGTGTGATGGAGGCTCAGAGTTCAAGCAATCATTTGAACGATCAGTCGAACAGCATGGAATACTCCAGATCATCACAGACGCAGCCTCATGGCAGAACGGAAAAGTTGAGCGCCACGGAGGATGGGTTAAGGAGAGAGCTGATCTAGAGATCAACTCAGGTCAAACTACGCTCATTGAAAGTTCTGACTTGGAAGAACTGGTTCTCTCCATAGTGGCCTGCAAAAACAGATGGTTCTCGAGAAGCGGGTATAGTCCATGTCAACTTGTTTTTGGGGCAAATCCACGTGTGCCAGCAGAGTTGCTATCAGATGACACGCTGCAAGAGATAGGATGGCAGGAGATTGAGACCGACCCTTTTGACCAAGACACTGCCGCAGCAGCCTACAATCGATCACATCAAATTCGACAAAGAGCCAGACAACTCTGTGTGGAGGCGTCATGTCGGGAGAAGATTCGTCTGAGCTCCACTCATAGAGCTCACAAACAAAGACAGTGGGCGATCGGACAATGGGTGTTCGTGTGGCGAAAATTTCCCGGCACGGGGCAAGGGCATTTGACTAGAGCTAGGTGGACAGGACCAGGCATAGTGGTTTTGCAAGCTGGACACACGGTGTGGGTGTCCATGCGAGCTCGACTTTGGAAGTGCAATTCAGATCAACTCCGACCAGCGTCGCACTTCGAGTCCATAGGAGCAGAGATGGCTCGCTCGGGTGAACTTCAGGAGCTCGTGAAGCAAGGCAGACCTAGTAAAGCTGGTGCTGTGGATGTGACTTCAGAAGGAACTCCTCCTCCTGATGAAGAACAACAACTAGTACCAGCAACAGAAGTGGCACAGCCTTTGATACATGAGACGATCAGAGCAGATGACAACTCAGAACCAAACAACAATCATAAAGGAGAAGGACAAGAACACGTCCCCTTGAGAGAGATTCGGGTGCCAGCACCCGTGGTAGCCGACGAGGATGCGGATTCCGTGACCATCGACTCGGTCAGTGACAAGACTCTCTCAAGCAAGAGAAAATCAGAAGCACCCAGAGGTGATGACAGTCAGAACAAGAAGAAAATGATAGAAGAAGACAGGGACAAGAAGAAGAAACCAACGGGGCAGAAGAGGACAGTCGTCGACACAGATCAAGAACGACTGGAAAAGATCGCCATGCAGACCATGAGAAGACTGGATAGAGAAGAGAAGATTCGGAGGTTGCACGACAAAGGAGAGAGCGCCCGATGTCTCGACTTCGAGCGCTTCGGCATCATCAATTCCTTCCGGTTCAGCATCCTCAACAAGACCAGATCTAGACAGAATTCAGGAAGAAGAAGACGACAAGGAAACCTCCGAGCAGAAAGAAGAGCTCATGAGCCACATGTCTGAGGCCGGCATTGATTTCTTCGAGATTTCCGGTTCTGAAGCTTGTCTCATGGCCAAGCCTTACAAGAGCAAATCTCAAGAGTTCAACATGAAGGAGGCTACACCAGAAGAGAAAGAAGGCTTCCGGGCCTCAGACAGAGCAGAGTGGGAAACAATACAAGATCTTCACGCCGTCAGAGTGCTCTCATTGAAAGAATCCAGACAGATTAGAAGAGAACGACCTCATCGCATTCTGCAGTCAAGGTTCGTCAGAAGAAAGAAGCCCATGCCTGGAGTAGGCAAGTGGAAATTCAAGTCTCGATGGTGTGTACTCGGCCATAGTGATCCAGATAATGGCACTTACACCACGTACTCTCCCATGCCGATGACTGAAAGCATCTCCATCTTTTTCCAGCTTTGCGCCAACATGAACATGTGTGTGACCTTTTGCGACGTGACTCAAGCATTTTGCCAGTCCGAACCTTTAGATAGGCCACAGGGTGAACTCTATGTTGAAGCTTGCGAAGGACTAGGTCTTCCTGCCGGAACCCTGGTTCAACTAGTGGCTCCGGTATATGGTCTAGAAGATGCCCCGATTCGGTGGCATCAAACAGTCATTCATTTTCTCAGGGAGCTCGGTTTTCAACGAAGTTTACTGGAACCATGTTGGTATGTGAGAAGGGATGAGAAGAATGAAGTGGAGGCCATGATTTTGGTCGAAGTTGACGACCTGAACGTTGCAGCCAGACCAGAACTGAGAGATCAGCTTCTAGACACTCTCGCTTCTAGGTTTCGTTTTGGCAAAATGGAGTATGACGAGGCTGACTTTGCCGGGCGACATGTCAAGATACAGCCGGGCCGAATTGAAATGAATCAAGAGAAGTATATCCTCGAGAAGCTCCATCCAGTGAAGTTGTCTCTCGGCCGAAAAGGCAACAAGTCGGCAACCTTGCAGCCAGATGAGTTTGAAAGCTTTAGATCCATGCTATATAGAGTAGCGTGGGTGGCACATCAAACCAGACCAGAAGCAGCAGGCGCAGTCAACATCTTGTCATCTAGGTTGAAAGAAGCAGTGATCCATGACATTTGCTGTCTGAACAAACTGATAGTGCATCTGAGAAATACGGCTCAACAATCGCTCACACTGCACAGCTTCAACAATGACGACATGATTCTGATTTCAGCCTCCGACGCAGGAGGTGTTGATGGATTGCCTCCACCTGGATCCAATGAGACAGACACCGTGCAAGGTGCTTGGGTGATCATGGCAGCAGATCAGCTCCCAAGCGCATCAAATCGAACCAAGGTGAGCATACTAAGCTGGAGATCCTCCAAGTTCAGACGAAAAGTAACATCAACATTAGCCAGCGAAGCTCTTGCCTTCAATCAGTCGTTGGATGAAGTTGAATGGATACAGATCATGATCAGGGACATAGTGAAAGGAGATATTTCCAGGAAGGACTGGACGCTTTCACTTGCTCCTCACTATCCTGTTCTCCGAGAAAATTGTGAGTTGGCAGAAAGGCTTCAACAATGTCACATTACCGACGCCAAAAGTTTGTATGATGCCCTGCTGAAAGAATCACCAATGTCTCGACAGGATAGACGTACATCAGTCGAACCGAGCATCATTTTGGAATCGCTGCAGAAAGCCAGAAGTGTTGTTCGTTGGGCTCCGCATCCTCGTATGGTGGCTGACGGACTCACAAAAGCTGACATAACACGTTCCAATGGCGCACTAGAAGAACTGCTCAGAACTTCACGACTAGCTTTGTGGGATGAGAGCGAGGAATTTAGACTAAGGAAGACTGATCCAAAGGCCAGAGGCCGCACCAAAGGTGCATCCACTAGGTTGCGACAAAGCGAAGCCAACTTGACAGCCCTCGTGTTCCCCAGTCGAATCAACAGAAATTTCGGGGTGCTGTCAGTTGTTTCCATCGTTTGATTCTCTGTGGTTCCGATGCTTGTTGGCTTCCAGACGTCGCTACCCGTCCCCTTCTGATGCATGCGCATGTGGTGGAAATGGCGTTGAGTTAGGTTCCTTCGTGGGTCCTCCGGGTTCTAACAAATGAAGAAGATTTGAATAAAAAAAGAAGAAGAAAAGAAGAAATGGATGAATAAATGGCAAAGGCATTGGTGGTTGCAAGGCAGCAATTAGCAGCTATGGCCCAAGTGGCGACTAGCTTTCAAGAACTGGAACGTTCGCCGAGGAGGCATACAATAAGGAACTTGATTCGATTGAAGGCTCTTAGAACGACGTGAAGCTTTCGAACATGACAGCTGAGGAGAAGGGAAGGTTAGAGAAGATATATGCCATTTTGGTTGGGCTTCTGAAGAACAGTGCTTTCAAGTTATTGAGGGCCGTTGAAGGCCGCAATGGTTATGAGGTGTGGAGACAGCTGAGTCTCTAGTTGACTCCAAAGACGAGATCGAGGTCGATCGCTTTGTTGCAAGCCTTCCTCAACCACCCCAATTTCACGAAGGACAAAGGAATGACCATGTTGGAGCAGTTGCTTGGTCTGGAGAGGTTGGCTGAAGAGTATGGCAAGGTGGCCAGGGAGGAGATTGGTGACACCACCAAGTTGAACGTGCTGTTGAAGGTGATGCCAGCTGCAATTAAACAACACTTGCAATTATAAATGACGGAGGACACGTCCTATAAGGAGGCCAGAGAGAAGATGTTGGCCTATGAAAGAACCACCACCTCATGGGGAAGGTATGCGATCTACAAGGATTTGGCGATCACCAAGGTCCACGACAGATACGATGAGGTGATCCCCATGGATGTCGACAGAGTGAAAGGAAGGAAAAGGAAAGGATAAAGGCGGCAAAGGCAAGCAGAAAGGAAAGGATTTTGGCAGCTACGCTAACGTGGACTTCAAGGGCAAGGGCAAGCAATACAAAGGAAAAGATGGCAAAGGCAAAGATGCCAAGGCAAAGGGCAAAGGTGTATCCTCAGACCCCTGCAAGCTCTGTGGTGGCAAAGGCCATTGGAGCAAAAACTGTCCAATGAGGGCATTGAGATAGGTCAATGAGACATCCTCCACTATCACAACTTCAGTGGGAGACAGTGCAAAAGTTGCCCAGGCATTAGGTTCGACGCCATCGACAAGCTCGAAGAATGTCAGAAGGGTCGAGACGGTGATCCTCGATGAGGATGAGGAAGACAATGCTGTTGGATATGTCAGGATGGTGGGGACTTAGACCTACGACCTCATCTACAACGACAATGATGAAGATTGGATCATGTTCAAGGAGCCAAGTGAAGACCAAGGAGAAGCTCATTTTGTGGGTTTTGAGGATTTGGTCAGTGGTGGAGGTTCGAGGCCCCACAGGAGAGGATGCAACAAAGTTGACTTTGTTCGCACAGTCGCTGGAGAAGATGGAACAATGGTGATTCTCGACTCAGGTGCTGACATCTCGGTGCTCCCCATGAGCTACCGAGAAGTGGGATTCCCGATTGACCGGGAGACCTCTTTGAGAGATGCCCAAGGAGGGAAGATGACGAATGGCGGCATGCGCCAAGCCATGAACGAGCTTGAGGATGAAGACGGCCATCTGGTCGAGTTGAGAGAGAGCTTTGCCCTGTCCAATGTCAAGGAGCCACTGCTTGCACTGGGAAAGTTGCTGCGAAGAGGTTGGAAAATAGAAGGAGAAGGAGGAGATGTGCGATTGACGCACGGTCTGTTCAGCAAGAGCCTACAGTTCAGACACAACCCACTCGTGGTGGACGCCAAAATTCGAAGGTTGGTGCAATTGTAAACCAACCTGTGGAGGAGAATAAAGTAAGGGCAATGACCATGGAATTCGAAGGGTTGCTGAAATCTTTGCTGGATGTTGCAGGATGGCACCTCACAAGTGATAGAAGAGTCCCATTTCTAGTCACGTTGAGCACGAAATTCTACAAGGATTCCTTCCACTAATTCAATAGAGTTGATTTTCCTTACAGGTCAACTGTCGTTTGGAAGTCAGGTCTCTGGGAATTGGACGAAATGGTCGAGCAGAAGCAGGACGAAGATGAGATTGAAGAATGAGAAGGTGAAGAGGTGAAGACAATCAACTTCTTTCATCAGACGGTGGATGATTTCATGGCATTGGGAGTGATAAGCCCAGGAGATGATTCGCCGTTCTTGAGGCCCGACATCTACAAGAAGTTCGACCTTGAGGAGAAGAAGAAGAAAGGAAGTGCAGTTGTCGAAGGTTGGTTTGGCAACAGCCTTGAAGATGGAATCTATGAGGAGGAAGATGATGAAGAAGAGATGGGTGAATAAGAGCCAATTAATGATGGCGACCCATTTGAACGCCAGAAAGCTCCTCTTGATCCTGAGATCAACGAAATTGAAGTCGAAGGAAAAATATACAGAGAAACTTCTTCGTTGAGGGAGCTGAGAAGAGCATTGAAGAAGTGTGGCCTTGGCAGAGGAAAAAACAAGAAGGAGGCATGGAAGATGCTCGTATACCACTATCAGCATTCTGCTGAGAAACTGAGCATCGAGCTGTCAAGAAAAGAATTTCAGAGAATGAAGGCTGATGAAGGAGAAGAAGCCAAAGGACAATCAGTGCCAAGGATGCCTTCGAAAGCGGAAAGACAAGTCCATGAATTGACTCACTTTCCATACCAGCCTTGGTGCCAGCATTGCATCGTTGGAAGAGGCCGAGATGATTATTATCTGAGCGCCAAACACGCTTCAAGACAAGAAACAAAAGCAGAGATGCCCGTGATCTCGATGGATTTCTGTTTCAGCCGAGGTGATGATGAGATGGACGTTGAAATGAAGGAGGACCTGCGCATCTACCAAGGTGATTTGAGAGGAGGAACATGCTTGGTGGTGACAGACGATTGGTTACATGCAGTGTTGTATGTACCAATACCAGGGAAAGGCAGGGCCCACCTGAAGTTCATGGCTGAGCAAGCGATGAGGTTCATTGGGAGCTTGGGATATTCAAGAGTAATCGTCAAGAGAACCATCGATTTTTTTTGGTTGGAGGTACTTCAATAAACAAGGTTGAGGCTGGGATTCCATACAAACATTGAGATCAGTGGCCCAGCAGACTCACAAGCCAATGGTCGTGTGGAGAAAGAGATCCAGACGGTGAGAGGCATGGCGAGGACATTGGTGCACGGTGTCAAAGAAGGCTGTCAAATGCCCATCAAGCCATCTTCGCCAGTGTTCCTTTGGGCTATGCGCCATGCTGGATGGTTGTTGACACACTACAGAAGGCAAGGAGGTGGATCAACAGCCTATGAGACCAGGACAGGAAGAAAGTACTGTGGCAAAGTTGCAATCCTTGGCGAAGGAGTGTTGGCAAGAGTGAAAAGAACTAACGGCAGCGACAAATTTGAACCAGGTCTTTGGTTTGGAAAGACGGACAGAGCAGACTTCCACATGGTAGCAATAGCAGCAGGATTGAAGTGGACAAGGACCATTAGAAGGCTACCGACTCCTTTTGACCCTGAGGCCGTGACGTATGTGAAGTTCTGGCCATGGAACATTGGGTTTGGACAGATTGGTGCTAAAGCTTCTTCGCTGGTTGGCAAATTCCCTACAGTCCCATTGCCTCCACATCTCGCCCCAGGAATTCGAGCAGAAGAGAAGAAGCTGGCTAAGGAAGAGAGAGCAAAGAAGAAGGAAGATGAGGCGAGGCTGAGGGGTGAAGAAGGACGAGAGGACAAGGGACAGGCAGGGGCAGATGAAGAGAGCAGCAAAAAAGACGATCCAAACATGAATGATTACACTCCAACACAGCCAGACGAAGACAGGAATGAAGGAGGTCTGGTGATTACAGATGACACGTTGCTGCAAGACCTGCTTGATAATTTGGAGGAACCTATGGTTGAGAGCGAGGCTGACAAGGCACCCGCAAATCCAAG